GCCTAGCCTGCCAGCAAACACGGCACTTCCCGCCAACACTGACTCAAGCACCTTTCTCCCTCTCAAAGGTGGCCTCTAATTAACCAAGCAGTTGCTGCTTTTACGGTCACGTTTTAAATACATATTAATTAAGGTAAACTCTATAAATAAATTAAATTATCAGAAATCACTCCCTCAGCTACGTTCGTCCGTTAATTGGCTTTGGTGAAAGGAGATAACGGCTATTTCCACTTTCTCACGTTTTTTAACAGAAAACATCCCCTCTGGTTCTGCACGACACTTGCCACTTAATATTCCTTTCATTTTCTCTTTGAATCGCTGATTTATCAAAGCATACAAAATAGGATTGATAGCAGAATTGAACAGGACCAAAATGGAAGTTGCTGCGTATGTCAGCTGATTGAAGGAAGGCTTATAATAGTAGAGGACGAAGTTAAACGTGTCTGCAAGCCAGGTTACGCCAAAAATGATACTGACTGTTATGACCATCAAGGTGACCCGCTTGCGTACTTTCAGTACACCCTGAAAACAAAAATTAAAAATTTTAACTTGTTGTTTGTGGAACAGAATAAACCCTGGTGCGGGTGAGTATACGGGACCAGCAGCTAGGAATGTAGGTAAATCACTAATACCAAATGACGGCAGTGACGTAAACCTACACACGTGGATTATTGACCAAGCGTGAGGTCAAGGTGGTTGGATATTGGCCAAGTTTTTTTGTGTGTGTTTATGCATCAGACAAATCCAGCTGCGCCCAGCCCCCTCCCCTGGGCCACTGCGGAACATTTGCCTACCTTGTCAGTCCCGGGGGTGGGGCATTAGCAAATTTTGCGTGGCCCGTGGGTCGGGCATTTACCCACCCCGAGCTTTTGACACGTAGGTGGGTTCCGATTCTAATATAATTAAACATGGAGGCTTAAGAATAGCGCTATTACAAAGGAGGACGTTAAATGAAACGAAAAATTTCACTTTAAAAATGCGTTAAGTGGCACTATTCGACTGGGCGATCAATGAAAACTGCTACAGTGTGGATTGAGGACGGGGCAGAAATTTCTGCATGGCCAAAAAAAGAACTTTTTCTTGCAGGAATAAATTGGTATAAGGCATGTTGTTTTTAATTTAGTTTCGAACCTGTTGCACACAATGATGACGTCCTCTTGGCTTTGAACGTGTGAACCACAAAGTGTACACGACTTGGGAGTATAGAACGATCATGAAAATAACCGGGAAAAATCCTGTAAATAGAAACCAAACCATGCTATAGGCTTTACCCATCCATTCTTCAGACCAAGTATAAACGCACCAATCAAGTTCCTTGTCAAAGTTCCTTGCTAGGAACATTGGAAAAGTGATGACGATCCCAAAGATCCAAGAGCAAGCAATGGTCATCTGAAATATATATACAAAATTATAATATTTTATGACATGCTGTACCAGACCCACTAGCAAATCAGTCAAACACAACCAAAAGTTCACAATGTTAATTGGCACTTCTGCTTCCTCAAGGTGTGCCCTAGTCACGTGTTCCTTTGCTTTGCAATGCATGTTTATATTTATAAGTGATACCTGGTAATACTAACTCTCCAATTTTGCATTTCATGTACTTTTTCTCTATTTTCTACACTACTTTTTTCCTGCATCACACAATTTTTACCAGGGGCTTTCTATCAGCGGGAACTGGGCTCGTGCCTCGCTTAATCATGAATTATTATGCAGTGAAATTACTTCAGTCTTCATTCCACTTCCCTCTCAGAGTATATCTGCTAGTCACGATACCAAGAGAAACTTCTAAATGTTATGAAAACTAACTTTTTATCGTTGTGTAAATAGTGTTAGCCTTATCTTGGTTACCTTGTGCTATGATGACGCAAAAGGTAAGTTGTAGTCAAATTAAATGAACCACTTACGCTACCTGCCGAAGAAAGAGTTAATTCGCTTTAAATGGTGTACACGCAAATCGAAACAAAAGCGATAAGCATACCTTTACTCTACGAGCACCAAAATTTCCCTTTTTTCCAAAGGGATGTAGTGCAGCAAAGTAGCGTTCAGTTGCCACGGCAACAAGTGTAAAAACTGATGCGCCACCTCCAATCCAGGCAACATTTCCTCCGGTCAGCAGTCTGCAGAGCACTTTTCCAGCAACTCCATCAGGATGAGTGAAAGTGTGCACCAAAACATATCTTGGTAGTAAAAATGTGGCTATAGTTATGTCTGCTATGGCGAGATTCATGAGGAGGCAATTTATTGATGTCCTGTAGAAATTCATAAAAATGAAAGGAAATCATTTGAGATCTCTATTAGGAAAAAGAAAGACTTCGTTCACTAAGGACAAAACTTGACTAATTTCTGTTTACTTAGTGATTGAAATCAACATTTTGCCGCAAAAAATTAAATGGCTCAACGTTAACTAATCAGCTAAGATTTCAGACCTCGAGTATCTCACTCTCCTATTGCATGCAGATCCTAGTCACATGTATGGGAATACAAGACAGTCTTGGACCCTGGATTCCATGACGTGGATTCCGGATTGTAATTGTTAGAGGGATTCCTGTTTCCTTGATCTGTACTCCGGGTGATAAAGCCCAGGATCCGGAATCCACAAGCAACAATTTCCAGGAATCAGCCGAGAATCCGGGAATCCGGAATCCGGATTCCGGTTTCCTCACAAGGGGCGAATGACATATTTATTCAACGAATGACAAGCATGTTTGGGGTTTGACAATAGAAATCAAGCAAAGTGTGATCACATCCCGGGGGTACTCCCTTATAAGGGCTTAACGGGGACGTGCAGCCAGCCAGGGTATGTTTTTGGGGATTTTTGCCTTAAACAGGGTATCGAATTTATCATTTTTTGTCTTAATCAGGGTATCGATTGATCAATTTTTGTCTTAAACAGGATATCTTTTCTTGGACGATAAACAGCAAAATTTTTACAAGCTCTAATGTTAATTAAATGTCTTAAACAGGGTATCAAAAATCGGAATTCTGTCTTAAACAGGGCAGGAAAATCAGCGATATTTGTCTTAAACAGGGTCAGGGTATGAGGGGCCGCGCCGTACCTCCCCACCCAGAAATATATCGAGTACCCCCCCGGGATCACATTTTCCCGACAGAAATCAACTTACTAACGTACTGACTGCATTTTCCACACGACTAACCTCATGCACTGATTTCTCAACACGATGAAACAAACCAGAGAGTTCCCAGCCAAGTTCACAATAACGAGTATGGACTGCACTATTGTGACCGCGATCTCAGCTAATCCATATTCTTTGTAAATAGACATCAGGCCCATCAAGAATTCATGTATCTAACTGGCGTTTTTTGCTTTTCGGTTCCTCGCGGACTGAGGCTTACTGCATCAAGAAAGTATCACAGTTTACCTTGGGTTCCCAGATTTAACCAGTCTCGTCGCAGCTACAAAAAGAAAAAAAAAACGCAAATTAGTATCGTGTGTTGGAAGAGCCTGCGAACGCAGACGTATTTCCGGTCGTCAGGGGCACCCAACGGCAATTTTCGGGAAAATATCTGTTCGGAAAACGATTTGAGATCTAGAAATTTCGGAGCGTTTGTTGTACAATTTGTTGCTTGCCTGCCTCTCCTAGGATTTTCGAACATCTACAAAATGGTATAATTACCCATTTTTAACCGGTTTTGACCCTAAAAAAGGCCACCTAAAATTTTCGGGAGCCTTTTCCTGGCTGAAATTTTCGAGAAGGTAAGTTTTTATCCCTATAATTTTCGGATCACTAGACTTTCAGCTAGGAAATCCGAACAGATGAAAAGTTTTTAGGGGATAAAAATATGCCTATATCTACCGTTTGAATACTAAAATACGTTTAACAATGCTATGTTAAGTGGTTTTGAACTATATCCTCGTTGGGTGCCCCTGGGTCGTAGCTTCTCTCCACCCGAAACGTTGCTTGGAGAGAACAGTTCGCAGGATAGTGAAGGAAACTTTTGTGAGAAATTATTAAAGCGTGTTTCCCGGAGATCGACAGTCCTAATTATGTACCCACCGCTACGCGACTGAGTGTCGTATCTTGAATTTGCTTGTGAGACTTCCTTTTTACTAGGCGAAAATGTTTATCACTGACTTCTTCTTCACCATAGATTCAAACTTAGAGCGAGGACACAAAATCGAGGAGATTTGCATCCATAAACGTGTTATTCTTTTATGATCTTCCACAAAAAACAACAATTCAACACCAGTTAACAGTAAGCTTTTTGTTTTCACAGTGAACCTGCTTTTCTTTGATAGTGAAACTGCATGTTATTGACGGACGCCACAAGCAGGAAACTCAATTCAGTGATTCAGGAAGTTAGTCAACATCACAAAGGAAGTTTCGGGAAATCGTATGCAAATTATAATACAGTTTGCGAACTTTTAATTTTAATTTCCTTGAGGAAACATACAATTGACAGTTTTTAGTCTGATCATACAGTCATTTACTGCTCGAGTCAGTGCACGATTATTACGCACTAGAGTGGGCTTGGGAAAACACTCAAGGCTTTATATATAGATATAAAAATGCTCAAACCCACGAACCCTCCGTGTTCTAGATCGGATGCTCTAACCTCTGAGCTACTGAGGACTCGTTGGCGAGCAAGGGTCATTTTTGTGGGTTGGACTTGCGAACCGCATCTCGCAGTCACACAGTCCATCACAAACAACACATTAAGGCTTAACTGTATCACATAGTCACATTAATAGCAAGAAATGTCTCACGCATGAAGGAACCTCCAACCAACCAACCTATGCCACTGATATATCTATCACTGCAAATATCTACACAATTAAACGTAAAAGTTGCTAAACAATAGACCAAATCGAAAACTTCAGTTGGGCAAAATAGAATACAGTGTACAGTGCCGGATCCAGACATTGAGATAAGGAGGGGGGGTCTTAGAAAAGCGGGGGAGGGCGGTCTCAAAAAAAATTTTTTTCGGCCCTTGGTCTAAAAACAAGTGGGGGAGGGGGGAGTGGGGGCCCTGGCCCCTCCCCTGGATCCGCCACTGGTATACTCACTAGAACATGTATTACTAACTGGAGAAGTTCTAGAATAAAATAAAATGGCCTTTCGGAGAGGCATTTCATAAGAATTAATAAAAGCAGATAAAGGTGGTGTAGAACTGACTTAATGTTGATATTTCAATACCCAGAATACGCGGAGAGTATTTAATATTAAATGACATGGTCATGTACCAAGTTATATCATTTACTTGCATTAATCCAAGTGTGATAAACTTCTAACTCTTTATCGCATTGGCGCTCTTTGGGTTCTTCTCTATGCAGTGACGTAAGGCAGCTCATTAAAGGTTCTTATGATAATTATTTCCTTATTATATTATACTTCTTAAATTATAAATAAAGTACATAATTCGGACGAGGTTTACTGTTAGTAGTGGCGAAACGGCTTAGCCTTAAGTAGAACACAAAGTTTCGCTTTGCCACGCTTCGTGTTGGCGTCTTGTTTACACTGACAACGTTTTTGCCCTCGAAGACGATTATAGAATTGTCTGAGATTTTCTCCGACGCTCACTGGTCTATTTCTTGTCAGTGGAAATGTGTTGTTTTTTAGGGGGATCCTAAGCCTAGGCCTAACGTCGAACTTTTTACGAGACAAACCAAACGTAGTGAGTTAAGTTCAAGAAAAGTTCGACGTCTGTACTCAGTTAAGTTCGTCTGAACGAGTTTGGATGACGTCCAGTACGATTCCATCCGTATGCTTCAGATGGGTACAACGTCCGAAGATTGTCTCTGGGACAAACATCGATCTTCACATACAACGAACTAATAAAAAAATTTGTATGATATTGTTTATTTAGCCTCGTTCGGGAGAAAATTTATTTCAATTGTTCAGGCCCTTATCAGGGGGGCTCGAGCCCAAAAAAAAAAAAAAAAAATTTGCAGACGAATTAAATTCTGTGGAATTTTTCTACTAAATTGGACAGCTGTCAATTGAAGCTAAAGTTTCAAAGTATTGTCGATAATAGCAAGATTATGTACTGTTGTTCTTCTGTGCAATTTGGAATTGTGTAAATGAACGAAATCGTATTTTTGCTCTGCCAAATACAACCAACAGCGGGGTGGAGGGGGGTTAATGTGGGCCACTCGCTCAGCCCCCCCGGTCGTTTGATGCTTGCTATGGGCCTGTTGTTTTTTGGTCTGATTCTAGAGATTGTCTGATTCAGTTGGTTGGTTCGAGGCACCCTATTTTCGACGTCTGACCAAACACTCAGACTATCTTAACTTAATTTAGGTCGCCCTAACTGATTAGAATTTGGTTCGTCTCATGAGTTAATACTCAGTTGGAAGCAATATTTTTACCTGACGTAGATCAATGGTGGAACAGAAAAAGCCTGTCCAAAATCGATTAAAACTGTTATTTACTGTTTCGCTAAAAGTTTGAGTTCTGACTTAAATGCAATGATAACGTTCTGAGAGTCACTGTAATCTAATTACGAACAACATACTGTTTAGCCGAGTACTTTTAGAATTGACTCTCCCCAGGCAAAATCATTCAATTCCATTTATATCATGTTTTCTCGTCGAATTGAACATTGAACGTGACTCAGTGACTCTGTCATAAAGATATAGACCCTTGAGCCTCTAGGCGTTAGTGCATATGTGCATGAACTTGAACTCTTTACATTGCTAATATATTTGTTACTTTAATTTTACTGTAACTATCGTCTCTTTTACATCTTTATCACGTCCACAGTCTGCCCTTGCTCTGTGTAACTTAATTATTAGGATAAGAAAAAATATTTTCAAAAATTTAGTCAAGTCTGGTATTGGCCACAGTCGAGATATATCGTGACATAAATTCTCTGCCTGTTATGAAAGGCGTTTAGACCTTTACATTTATATGTTATCATACCTATGCCGAAAGTTGTGAATGGCAAAATGAAATGATTCATATCCCTGTCATATTAATAATTATTATTGGAAAGATAGGCGCGGAGGTACTTTGAAGTTTGGCCTCCGTCGATAGTTGTAAGGGCAACTGCATTACAAATTTTCTTTGAAAAACCATGACTGATTATGCAGCCTAAGTTTCATTCACCAGTACCTTTTTCTAGTTTTCCTTCCTTTGCAGCGACACTATATTATTCAACAAGGACAAAAAATTCAAAATGTCCACCCGCAGAAAAGTTAAGATCCCCGTCAAGTCCGATTTTGAAGAATAGCCCACATGTAGGGTTTAGACTGTTATCAGTTCGTTTGTTTACGGTATGAAGTCTTTATGAAACTAATTTTCAAACAAAATAGCTTTTAGCTCCGAGTATTTTCAAGTTCTGCTTAGCCAGGCATATAATTTTGTACTTTGCAGCTTCGAATTATCACTCCTTTTAAGTCAAGAGGGTACCATAACTGACAATCCATATATCTCCTATACTGGAAACTCAAAGCTTTATGCTTTTTCTGGTGAAAAATTGGAATAAAAAAGTTACGGTTTTGTTACCTGTTGTATGCTATATCTATATGCCGGCTTCATCAGTCAACAGCACCTAAATTATGGCAAACGTCCACCTTACACACAACAGAAACACCTGTTCCTTGCCAGTTAGTAAAATATGAATGTAAATAGCTGTTATCCCCTTGGATGTTGTCGAATTGTTTGATTGGCTATAATTAATAGTGGCTATAATTCAAGGCCTTACGGAAAAGAGTAATCGGCAAAAATTTATGAGGACTCTTAACGTTAATGCGTGTTGCAGTGCACGGGTCATCTTTAAAGGGCTTTTATAAGAGTCAAGGTAACTTCGGAAATATTGTGTACGAAAAATGTTAGAAAGGCAAATCCTTACAGAAACGCCACAAAGGAAAAAAAAAACATGAAAAAAGACGAACTCCAATTACGATCAATTAGAATTAGACTGATACAAAGTTTAGTTTTTATGTGAATAAAAATCATCAATTAGGCACGTCCCATTACTCAGCCTTGATGGCAAAAGTGTAAATGACGCGATCGGAAAAGAAGGCCAATATCGCATGCGACGGAACAGCTTGTGGTTGCTTGATATTGGAATGACGGCAGAGAGTTCTGACACTTGTTTTGTCCAAAGCCGAACAACAAAGATGAAGACACTGTGTACTTTATTTTTGAAAAGGGCTCTTTCGAGAAAAAATTACTGTCGGTATCTAATAATTTAACTGTTGTCGGGTAAATTCACAAAAATCATCTCCGAACCATATTTTTATTATATATTTGTGAAAACAATCTGTCGAGTTCCACCGTTTTTGCTTACTCATGCAAACCTGCACCGTTAAGATAAACGGCAATTGTCTTTCCCTCCTCGCTCACCCACACAACCAATATCACTCAGCATGCGCACTTTTATTTAGAAAACCGCCAGAAGAGACGCGCCGGTCCACTTCAATTTACTTAACAATTATTTCACGAGAGCGTGTTGGATATGAATATAAATAGCCAAAATGCAACGCATATCAAACAGTCTAGGGTAGAATAACTGTTTTATTAAAAGCATTTTACCGGCGTCACTAATAAAACTTCAGGTGATTTGAAGAAAGAAACAGGAGGAGATGAAGGCCTGTTCTGCCGGTTGATTAGCTCGATCATAACCCTTCTCTTTTGAAACAGTCAAAATAGCCATTGTACAGTTTTTGAGAATAACTCATTCAAATAACTTCATACTTTAAAAGTAAGCTAAAACATTCCTACCTTGATCAATGTTTACTTCCAATTCTCAATTGCCTGCTCCTCGGCAACTTCAGGGATTATAGTAGTTTTCATCCGTCGAATTGTATTTTCGCGATTCTTTCTTTGCTTTTCCTCTTCGCAGAAAGAGTGATCAGGAAGTTTTCCACCAATTTCTGCAGCTCCACCAAACAATCCAACCTCATCCCAAACCTTCACGGTTGCCGTCCCTTTTTTCCGGCCTTTATCTTGAAGTATTGAGTGACGTCATTTTATCGGATAGCACAAAGCGACTTCCAAATTCGGTCGGCGTTAGCTGGTAATGAAGAATTAGCCGGAGGAAATATGGCGACATATGACGCAACCCTCGACCAATCAGAATCTCTATCATCATCTGAGTAATTATACTAGTACTTCTTATCAGAACGGAGCCTGACTGGGAGAAAATAAATAAAGCACTGCCAGTCTTTTTCCACCTTTGTGATTATATGGCCAGTCTATTGATTTTCCAAAACAAATAGGAAATAATTAACTTTCTTTTATGGACTTTAAACCTTTTTGCCCGACCGAAACCGGAAACCGCGCATGAAAAGCCTCTGGCACCCAGGGTAACTGCGTCATGATTAGATAACGTTAATCAAGAGGTGTTTACCGTTTGACTGATGTTTTTTTTTCACTGCCTTATTATGACATAGTAATAAATTACAGAAATCCGTTAGAATATGGCAATTTAAGCACACTAGGAACGAACCATTAATGAGGCTTAAACAACATGGGCTTTCCCTATTAAATTACAAAATAATAACAGCAAAGGCAGAGTAACAATAATACTAAGGAAGAAATAAGGTATCAGAAAAAGGGAGCTCGAGAGAAAGAAAAAATTAATAAATAATTAAAAACTAAAGACAAAACACAAAGCTGACAAAGGGGGATGGAGGGAAAGGAACAAGTTAAGTAAGAAGGTGTTTCTTCAGTTTTTTCAATTCCTTAAAAGTTGATACACTAACTGAACTTAGAATGTCTGGACTAGTGAATTAAAAAACAAGGGGCATTGGTATTGAAATGCAAAGCGTCTTGTGTTGTAGTTCTGAACTTAGGAACACACGAGAGTAACTGGTATTCCTGGTATCATAACTATGAACCTGATTGCCAGTTCCATTAATTGTTAACTTAATATAAACTGAAATTTTCTTAATCTAAATTTGAAGTAAATGAGATCGGACCCGTGATCTCTGTACAGCCCCTATATTTTCAAGGATACTTTCGTAGTTGTTAGTTGTAGCAGCTAGTGTAGTGCAAGCCATAAGTAGGATCGAGGTTTTCAAGTTGGTTTCCGTTATTCGGAATAAATAACTGAAATCTCAAAATCGATGAGGGCCAAGACTTCGAGCCAGGACTCAAGCCAAAACTCGACGCACGACTCGACAATTTTTCGCTTTCCCGCCATTTTCACCATGACCATGAGGAGGGTAAGGGTTAGAGGTTAGGATTAGAGTTAGGGTTAGGTCAGAGTCACAGTGAGGGTTAGGGTTAGGAGGTTACGAGTTAGGTTAGGAGTCCTTTTTGTTTATTTTACTTTTGTTTATTAATTATTTTTACTTATTCATTTTTCTGCTTACAGAAAGATTAGAAAAGTCCTAACTAGAGTCCTGGCTCGACTCCTAGCTCGAGTAGACTACGAGTAGTGCCCCATTTTTCCTCAGGGATAGTAGAACGTGCGAAACGCGAGCGCGCGTGAAAATCAACCCACGCGAGAAAAGGCGACACGCGGTGGGGAGAGAGAAAAATGAGGGTAAACCTTTATATAGAGAGAAAACCGTTTACATAAAAACCCATAAAAGGGCCATAAATCGGCCCGTGGACCACACAGGAGAGACGTAACACACATTTTAAGTAAGGTAAGCTGTTTTTTATTGAAATCCTTTCATTTCATAGGTTACAGAAAGGATAGGTTTTTTTACCATACAAATCCTTATATTTTGAATGTTACGCAACAATGCCGATGCTCGCCGATGCTCATATTTCGAACTTAGGCTACCTGGGGCGTTACGTGTTAACAGTGACATTCTGTGGAGCAGTTGTTTTGAAAGTTATGGACCAAAAGACACTCGTTAAGCACAGATCAAGTTATAAGGTGCGTATAACTGTGTAAAACACTTGGAGAGTTTGCCAGACACGAGTCCACAAATCTTTGATTGGAAACGTTGCCAGACACTCAGGGGCACCCAACGAGAAGATAGTTAAAAACCACTTAAACATATATAGCATTGTTAAACGCATTTCGGTATTTAAACGGTAGATATAGGCATATTTTTATCCCCTAGAAATTTTTCATCTGTTCGGATTTCCTAGCTGAAAGTCTAGTTCGTTCTAGTGATGCGAAAATTATAGGGATCAAAACTTACCTTTTCGAAAATTTCTACCAGAAAAAAAGGCTCCCGAAAATTCTAGGTGACCTTTTAACAGGGGCACCCAACGAGAGTATAGTTCAAAACCACTTAAACATAGCTTGTTAAACGTGTTTTAGTATTTAAACGGTAGATATAGGCATATTTTTATCCCCTAAAAATTTTGCATCTGTTCGGATTTCCTAGCTGAAAGTCTAGTGTTCCGAAAATTATAGGGATCAAAATTTACCTTTTCGAAAGTTTTAGCCAGAAAAAAGACTCCCGGAAATTCTAAGTGACCTTTTTTAGGGTAAAAATCCGTTAAAAATGGGCAATTATACTATTTTTTTGACGTTCGTTACCTAGGAGAGGTAAACAAGCGAGAATTTTACCAAAAAATGTTCCGAAAATTCTAGATCTCAAATCGTCTTCCGAACAGATATTTTCCGAAAATTGACGTTGGGTGGCCCTGTTTTAAGGGTAAAAATCCGTTAAAAATGGGCAATTATACCATTTTTTAGATGTCCGAAAATCCTAGAAGAGGCAGGCAAGCAAGAAATTTTACAACTAGTAATAGTTGACACCACAGCTGCCCCCGCTCTGTATATTGTCGGTCAATAGTATTCTTGCTCGTTGTGTAGCTCTTTGAAATATACCGGTTCATAACGAAGATTTTCACACATATTCCATTCAATAGGTGAGATAAATACAGGAAACGCAAGGTTCCATGCACAGTTTCAGTTCGATTTACACAGCTCAGATCAAAACATTCTCATTTTCGAGAATTAGTTTTTTCTAAACCATGAGAAAAGATTTAATTTTAAGTTGAATTTTTCGCTATTTCTCTTTCACTTTTTACATTCAGTTCATTTTATTTGCCGGAAAGTAAACCCTAGAAATTAAAAGAACGTTTGTTCAATTCACGCTCGCGCATCAGCCCGACATCAGTGAGCAGGGAATAAAGCTGGATCACGCGGTTATATTTTCTTCACTCATTACACCCCGGATGACACTAGCCTCCCACGCAGGCGTTTTTAGGGGAGCTCGTTTTTCATCCCTCCCCGAGTTCTCCTAAAAGCGCCTGCTTGGGAGGCTAGGATGACACCCAAATCATCCGACATTGAATTTTGAACCGTAAAATATCAGAAAGCCAATGGACCCCCTCCTCCCCCAAACCCCAACTACGCGCCCAAATCACGTTTGGCGGAAGTCTTCAAGACAAATCCTGTCATGAGCCTTTTTGATTGTCAGGCCTCCCATGGTCACGCTGATGACCTTTGGGCTTGTCACGTCAATCCTCTTCACCGAGGGCGCATTATAACCACACGACACACTAGATGACCCTATTTTCAAAGAAACCTGAAGGAAAGGTAAGTGATAGACTTGATTATCACAAGTAAATACTGCAGAGGAAATTCCACAACATTCCCAAATCGCCGTAACAAAT